AAAAAATGTGGAATTAAATTAGGTTTAGAGAAGTTCTTAGTGGAACATGATTTTTTTTTAGATTTTAATCTTTTTTTCTCCCAGAGTACCTGATGAACATTTCTGGTGTGAATGGTGTGAAGAGTTCATTTGAAATTTCACCAGAATAAAGTAGCTAGATATTATGCACATATAAGCACACTCTCTCCCTCTATTTTTATGATTGTTATCAAATTAAAATATATTGTTCTTAGTCTTCCTACTCCAGTTTGATGACTCTTTTTTTACTGTGCTGAATTTTATGCAGTTCTTGAAAAGCAAAGTTATATGCTTATTGGAAGATATGACATCGAAAATCTGATGCGACTTGATCCAGCTAGTACATACTTACCAACTTCAGTTCATTATCCGAACTCAGAAAATAATGCTTCTGATGCTAAAGAGGTTGAAAAGATATAAGCAATCTACTACTCAATCTGAAGCCTATCAAGAAAGTATGTATCCTCTGAGGGTCATTTCATGAAAATTAGTGTAGGCTTAGGACTCAAAAATCTATTATGGTCTTTGTAGTTTTGTCCACAATCCACTTTGACCAGTTAATCATACAACTATATATCTGGGGGGGATTTATTCAAGGGGACGAGGGATATGGGATTGGTGCTATGGTTGTATTTTGAATCCTCCAGTTAATGTTGTCATTTGTGATCCTATCATTTCCTTATTTTCAGGAGAACCTGATTCGCGATGATAGCAAACTTGTTTTGAAATAATACGGAGTATATTTCATTAATTAATTCAAATCAAATAACCCCAACGAAGGCAATTAGAGTTCAATTTAGGACTAATGACAAAGTTCACTTTGCAGGACTAATGAGAGCGTTCACTCAGGTTTGAGCTCCAGTAAAAACAGATGCATGGGCTTTTTATGGCTCATTGAGATGAAAAAAAATGAACATGTACTGTATTGTAATAGAGTTAATGATGTTAAAAAAAAGAAATGACTATCAATGATACTGATAGATTGGGGTAGCCCCTTTGGACTTTGTAGAAAAATGAGGAGCATCAAATGAACTATTTCATGAATATGTAGTTGGTTTGAACCTCAAAATTAACCTTTTTCATGTATAGGTTATTTTAGTCTTGGTTATAAGATTAATTTAATTTTGATATAGGTTTAGTTTTTGATCGAACTCTTTCAAAATTAATATTTTTTAATCTAAACATATAGTGAAAGTTAAATTGTGAAAATGGGTACTTTTAAAAATAAAACATACTCCGTATATTAAAATTAAATAGTCTTATAGCAGACTGATATAACTCAATACCTGAAAAAGGCGATTTGATGTCTAGACCAAAACATACATTGATTTAAGTTTTGTGAACCATTAGGGATAACTTAGAAATTTTTTCTCTATTTAATATATACAATATATATATATATATATATATATATATATATATATATATATAGTGTTGGAGATCTTTACCATTTCATCTTCTGTGGGTATTATTTCCTCTCCAACATTTCCACTGCTTTCAAATGTATTCTGAAAATCCTTTTTCGAGTTGGAGAGTCTGTAATTTTTTCCTCAATATTAGTGTTGTCGTACTTATTTCTCATAAAGTTTGCCCACTTACTATCTGAGCATCTAAAGTTCCACCAAAGCTTGATCGAGTAGGCCTCTTGCAGATCCCCAAGGTCCCTTATCCCAAGTCCACCTTCAATATTAGGTAGGCAGATGTCTTTTCAGCTTTTCCAGTGATATTTAGTCTTCCCTAGGTTGTATCCCCAGAAGAAGTTGCTCATCATTCTATGGAGAGTTTTGACAATGGGTGCAGGGAGAGAGTGAACTGAGATGATGTGAAGAGGGATGGAGGAGAGCACATGCTTGATCAGGACAAGTCTCCCAATAGGGGTCAATGTTTTGCTATACCAACTCTCTATATACCTGGCAAAGTGCCTGATCAGACCCCCACAATCTGATTTCCTAAGAATGCCTTTGCAAATAGGAGCTCCCAAGTAGGTAAATGGTAGGCGGTTGCATTTCATCTCTAGTAAGGCTTCCATTTTAGCTATGTTACTTTGCTTAATCCCCTTGCCACAGTAAAATTTATTGCTCAAGTTGATTTCCTGACCAGAAGCATTCAGATAGGCCCTAAGGAGAGTTCTCAGTTTCAACAGATTGTTTGTGTTTCCATTGCTAAATATGATTACATCATCTGCAAAGGCTAAATGGTTGACTAGTAGGTCCCTACCAGTGTTGTAATTTAGTATTTTAGAGGATGCCATACTTTTGTTAAGCATTTTGGACAGGCCCTCAGAAGCAATGATAAATAACAGGGGGGACAGTGGGTCTCCCTGCTTAACACCTCTCTTCATAGGGAAATATCCTTAAGGGCTCCCGTTGATCATAATTGAAATGAAAGTATCTTTAAGGTTAGCCATGAGCAGCTTCTGATTATGATCTGAAAACCCTAGTTTGTTGAGCACCCCTTGTATATAGGACCACTCCATGTTGTCGAAAGCTTTAGCCATATCTAGCTTTAGGATGACATTTCCACCTCTAATCTTTGAATCAATCTTGTGGACCATTTCTTCTACCAAGAGGATCTGTTCATCCACACCCATCCCCCTTTGAAATCCTGTCTGTTCAGAGGAGATGAACTTTGGAAGTAGATTCTGTAGTCTGTCTGCCAGAATTCTTGTATTGATCTTGCTCATGAAGGATGAGAGTGATATAGGCCTATACTCCCCAAAGCTTGTAGGGTTGTCTGTTTTAGGAATGAGTGTGAGGAAGGTGCTTCCATAGCTCTTTGGTATAGGTATCCCAATGAAGAACTCTTGGGTAGCACTTATAACATCTTCTTTGATTATATGCCAGCAGGCCCTAAAGAAAGCTCCATTGAAACCATCAGGGCCAGGGGCACTGTGTGGATTCAAGCTCCAAACTGTTCTTTAATTTCCTCAGGTGTTGGGATTTTGCTGAGCTTGGTATTATCGTGTTCAGTTATGGTAACCTCTAGATGATCAAGAACTGGATCCATAGAGACGTCTTTCCTCTTGCAGAAAAGGTTGGTGTAGTAATCAATAGCCATGTTATGTATAGTCTCTTGGTCAGTGTGTTCTTTCCCTTTGTCGTCCCTAATACTCCTGATTTGGTGTTTTGCTCTCCTCCCCTTGACATAGGCATGAAAGAATTTTGAGTTACAATCCCCCTCTTCCATTCATTTCACATTTGCTTTCTGCTTCCAAAAATTGAGCTCATTGTTTGTGGCAACGATCAGCTGAGCTTTGGTTTTGTTTTCTTGCTCTCTATTCTCTGAACTAGGTTCCCTCTCATAGTTCTCCTGAGCTTGGATTGTTGCCTGTTCAGCCTCCTTCAACTTGTTAATAATATTGCCAAAGGTGTTTGAGTTCCACTCCTTCATTTGGCCTTTAAGCCCTTTAAGCTTCATGACCAGACCTGCCATTCCACCATGATTGCTGGTTTTATCCCAATAGTTAGAGACCATCTTGAGAAAAGTGGGGTGGTTTAACCATGCATCTAGAAATCTGAAGGGTTTAGGTCCCCCCAGAGGTGCCTTAGAACATATAAGGAGGACAGGCTTGTGGTCTGAAGAGGTTTTGCTAAGGTGTTTGATGCAAATGTCCTCGAAATCTTCCATCATGAAATTGTTTACCAAAGCCCTATCCAGTCTCCTCATGACCCGACCGTTGCTTCTGTTACCGGACCATGTGAAAACAGATCCAACAGTATGGGGGGTAACCAGACCACAAGAGTCTAGGCAATCTTTGAACTCCTCCATGTCAATGTGTCTAGGTATGTTTCTGCCACTGTGTTCTGAGCAAGCTGTGGTTATATTGAAGTCACCCCCAACAATCCACTTGCAAGATGGTATAAGGTTGACCAATCCAGCCCACAGGTCTCTTCTTTCAGCACCTTTATGCTTCCCATAAACAGTGGTTACTCTGTAGGATTCCTTAGTGGATGTGTCTATTAAGTCACAGTTTACCCATTGGGTGTCCTCCTTCATATTATACAGACTGAAATCATCCCCAATCTGGGAGGCATCAACTATAGGTTCAATAATGACTAGGAAATCGATTTTATGATGTTTTTTGTACACAATGATCCTTTTTAGAGAGGATCTAACTCCACAAACATTCCAGAAGAGCACAATCATTAAAGACTTAAGTATCTGTAGTCTTTATGTCTCCTGTAACTCCTTGTAACAATAGTCATGGGAGGACCCTCTTTCTTGCTTTTTTTCTTCCTAGGTGCTGAAATTGGAGTTGCATTTTTTGCAGGGATCTTAAAATGTTGTGGCTTAAGCTCTGATGAATCAATGACATCTTCAGTGTCATCATCATCTGAGTGTCTGCCTATCTCCTTAAGTGTTTCTTCATCTTCTGTTTGGCTGGGAAGTTGTAGTTCATCCACAAGCATTGCAAGTCCCTTTTCAGGGGAATGGTTGTATAGACAGTCATCTAGTGAGAACCTGCAGGTATCCCCATTTGACTTGGTCTTCTTTTCTATGGTAGCTTCTTGTAACTTTTCCTTTGTTTGGGCTTCTGATTTGTTGATGTACTCTTTGGCTTCCTTTAGAGAGGGAAAAGAGGAAAGGCTATTGCCAGAGTGTTCATTGTTTGTTAAAGGCTGCAGGTCCAGTAGCTGTCTAATTGTAGTCTCTAGCTCACAACATGGCAAGTGGTTTTTTGTGTTGGTTCCCAACTGATTGACAGAGAGGTCCATCAAGTTCAGTGGGGCGAATTTATTGAATTGGGGTTCAGAGAATTTGATTTTCCATTCAAACTTCTTGGGCCCATATTCCACTAATTTCTTATGGAGTTGTACCTTCTGTTTCCCATTTGTCTTCTTTCTTTTGACCATTTGCCATGATGCTTCTGTCTCCTTGCAGCTGCCCCCTGGACCCTTGCCGGAGGGAACTTTTCCGGTGGGTTGTGCAACTTGTTGATGGCTGTGCTGGGTTTCCGCATGACCCATGGATTGACACTTCTGGCAATAGCTAGGTTTCTCCTCATATTTACAGTTGGTGTAGATATCCTTACCACCCATCCTGATGTGCAGCTTGGTAGGGGCTGGTTCAGAGATATCCATTTCAATGCATATTCTGGCTCCCTCCCTTCTATCCCTATTAATTGTGTAATCATCTACTTTAACAGGTCTACCCAATAGAGTAGCTATGGAGAAAAGGGCCTGGTAGTCAATGAGGTGAAGGGGCAGCATATCCAGAGTAACCCAAACAGGGAATATTGGGGATTCTGACTTGGGGCTGTAGTCCCTAGTCCATTTAAAAACATAGAAGGANACCACCCATCCTGATGTGCAGCTTGGTAGGGGCTGGTTCAGAGATATCCATTTCAATGCATATTCTGGCTCCCTCCCTTCTATCCCTATTAATTGTGTAATCATCTACTTTAACAGGTCTACCCAATAGAGTAGCTATGGAGAAAAGGGCCTGGTAGTCAATGAGGTGAAGGGGCAGCATATCCAGAGTAACCCAAACAGGGAATATTGGGGATTCTGACTTGGGGCTGTAGTCCCTAGTCCATTTAAAAACATAGAAGGAACTATCGTATACATACCACTTTCTCTTTTGTAAGAATCTGATGTAATCTTCTTCTTCCCTGAAAGTAAATAAGTTGTCCCTTGCGTTGATTCTTCTAATTCTGAACGGCCCAAACCCCAAGTTTAGGAGGAATTTCTTGAGAATTGATAGATGTATAGCTTTGTTGAATCTCCCAACCACCGAAATTTGCAATTTGCTCTCCAGTTCTGCCTCTTCTTTCTCTGTGAAACTAATTGAAGGATTACCATTGTAAAAACCCTCTCTTTTACCCAGCGGCTTTGAGTTCTCCTGGTGGAATAATTGGGAGAAAAGCTTGGTGAAGATTTTGCTCTGGGCCTGTTTTTCCGGCAGGGTAGCCGGACGCCTGACCGGAATTCTCTCGCTTCTCTCTAGATTTGAATTTTATATATATATATATATATATATATATATATATATATATATATATATATATATACTAGCATTGCTCCGTGCGATGCACGGATTCAAGTTCCCGGCTAAAGTTTAGTGTATTATGAACTTGTATCATGTATTTGTTTTACTTGTCTTTGTTTTGTATTGGTCAAAGTGTAGCGTGTTGATTTTGAGTAGTGAGTTTTGTTATGTATTGGTGTTACTGTATCAATAAATTTAATTTATTACCATGTGTATTAAGTTAAATATCTGTAATGGTAGCATATACTTTTATTTTTATGCATACTTTTTACTTTACAAATACATATATGGTGTTGAAAACGTCATTAACCATCTTTAATGTGTTTGATGAAATAAACAAAATTATTTTGGCAAAATAAAAAGGAGTCTATGATAAGACTTTGTGTTTTAAACATTGAGCATAGGCTTTGCACCAAACACCATCGATGAAGCTAATTTGTATGGTATTCATAGTAATATCGGTTAATTTGAGCTCAAAGCATTAGATATTGTAAATAATGGAAGTTTAGAAAATATGTGCATATTAACTATCTTACTCGCGCTCCTAAAAGCCTTTCCTGTTTTGACTTTTTGGGTAAAACAGTGACACCATAAATTTTGAGAAAAGTATACTTTACTATTATATAATAGTTCGGTACATATTAGGATATAGTTTTGATACATCAAATTTTTATATCATGTGTTTATTTAGATTATGTTTAGTTTGTGGTAAAAATGTGTCACTATTTGACCAAAGAACTCAAAACAGGAAAGGTTTTAAAACTAAAAACAGGAAAGGTTTTAAGTCCCGAGGGAGGATTTTAAACAAGAACGACAGTAATATACTCTCAATTATCTTCTTCTAACTTTTGTACATATTTGAAAAATATTTAAAAGAGGAAACACTTGAGTTAAATATTATATTTTAGTTCGAATAGCACCGGAAATTAAGGTAAGAGAATGGATAAAATTATAACAATCGATATAAAGCATAAAAATAAATTATTTTTTCTAGCATTGTAGTTTTGTCTAAGTCCAAAGCTTACAAAACATATGCGTAAAAGGTATATCATATTACAAAGTAATATTGGGGAGCTTCATCTTGCAAAAAAAAGTAGGACATGTAGAAAGCTAAACATATCATTGTGTTGGATAAGTTGGTTTATTAATGTTAATTTTTAACGAAGTAATATGAGGTTTATAAATATCAAAAAAAATTAATAACACGACATTGTTAAAGATCGCCGCCAATACCTGAAATAAATCGATATAATCCTCAAGCTAGAAGTGAAGAAAGTAAAATAAGTATAACATCCAAATCACATCGAGTTATGAGTTAAAAGGTGTGTAATGAACTTTGTGAAATTCTTTAGATGATCTTACAAATTTTTAAATTGCTAGTGATGACTATTTTTTAAGAGATTAAGACGAGACTCAAATTTGAAATAGGTACAAGTATAACTTTATCATAGTTTTATATCATTTCAATATCTCTGTAATATGAAATAAACAAAAAAGGTAAACGGTCGATACATAGCTGAAAGTTGCAGGAGACAAAATTAAACTGTCATTGTTTTCTCTAATAACATTCTTTACACCAGAGTAGTGCTTGATGTGTCTGGAGAATGTCATTAGATCATATATTGGGGTTAATTTAGAATTATTAGCATTTATTATAATAATTATACTCTGTACTTGTGGCATATTGGGATCGGAGTTAATTCAGAATTATAATAACAATCATCGTGTCCGCTTGTTTTTTTTTTTGAATTTTCATTTTAAGTTTTAAAATAATTGTCTACCTCAATCCTTTCTTTTTCCTTTTCTAAAGATTAGTTTAATTTTGGATAAAAAAATAGATAAAAAATAACGAAAATGATTAAAATTTCTAATACTATACAAAATTAAAAAAATTAGATAAGATAATCAATAGAAATTTACTTGAAACTGGTAAGAAATAAATTCAAAATATATGGAGTGGTGGATTTTAACATTTTACGCACAATACATGTTATTAATGTACAACTTCTTCTTATTTTTAGGAGAAATTATATAGAATAATCCCAAGTTATCTGTCTTTCAAAAAAGAAGTAGTAGTACTTATATTTTGTTTTTTACCTTTTTATTTCATTATTTTTGTATGGTCTGAGTTATTTTTCTTATTTTCGTTATTTTGTATATCTTTTTTTATTTTTCTAAAGTAAGACTAATCTATTAAAAAAGAAAGAGAAGAGGATGTAGAATGTAGTTTTTAAAATTTAAATGAAAATTTAAAAAAGAAAAATTTAAAAATTATAAAAAAATAATCCCAGCTTCCATTCGTTACACAAAAAATGTTGTTTCCGTTACCCGTTGTTTGCAACTTAATGCCAACCCAAAACGCACAAACTTTAGTAGAGTTAAAATTATTATGCATCATAATAAAATGCGAGATTATTTTTGAAAGACCAGATAAAGTTGGATTACTTTGAATAATTTTTCTAATAATAATAATAATACTCTACTATTGTGGTGTATAGGCTATAAAGCATCTCTATAATTGTGAATTAAAGAATGAAGGGATTAAAGATAACTAACGGTATTAGGGGCATTTGGGGTATAAATTGCATGGTACAAGTTTTAAAGCTAATGGTACATGTATTTTTGGATGGAAAAGGTGCATAATATTAAGGGGTACCAAACCCTCTTTCACATTTATATAATAGAGAAAGATATATATATATATATATATATATATATATATATATATATATATATATATATATATATATATATATATATATAAGAGGGTACAGGATGGGGATGGCCAAACTGGCCCCTACACCAAGGCCAAAGTAAAAGAAAACAAAATGAACCAAACAAATGGAAAACAAGAGCTAGTAGCTAGCTAGAAAGTACAATAATGAAAGGAAAAAAATCCAAGAAGAGGGCCACCCAAGTAAAGTTGTAGCAATTAGCAGTCACTGGAAGGTATCCAAAAGTTAAAGACATGAGGCTGTGGGTCCTTCTATGCAATTGAGCCATCCAATTGGAATGAGGAGGCTAACTCCGATCTGTTGGGGAAGAGTTCTGTGCAAAATTGTCCCTTGAGAAATAAGGTCTTCTTAAACAAAGCAACCTTGAAACAGGAGCTAAAAGCTGAACATAAGAAAGCAGAGATTAATAACTCTGCTAACAAAAAATAAAACCCCAAAGTCAGACCTCCTAATGGAACCTCAAGAGTGAATACCAAGCAATCCCTGCAAGTTTAAGCCTAAAAAGAACAAAATGTAACGCGTGAGATCAAACTCCATGAAATTGACTTTTGTAAACAAACTCATATTATGGATCCGTTCTAAATGCAGAGCCAGATTCTGCAAACCTAGGGTCAATAAGCATAGTCCAAATCAAAGGGCTCATCCTCATAACCATCAGAAACCTGCCGTTTGTTCTTTTTCTTCTTTAGTTTCTTCTTCTGACTTTTGCTCAATGGCTTATTAAGAGGTTTAGGTTCATCAAATTTGTTAGGACAACATAGCTTGAAGAATTTGATGACCTCTTCTTCATGAGATTCCTATGGATCATTCAAATAATCTTCCTCTTCCCAGCCAATTGTGTGTTTCTTCTCCCTTCTTCCTATAGTTTAGCCTTGCTTCTAGTAACCATTTGAGATGGAGAGTATGTCCTTTTGCCCTTTAGTGCCTTACGCAGATGGAAGGGGTGCTTGGGGCATCTTGAAAGGTCTATTTGTAGTGGTTTAAGCTTAGAATCAATGAAAACATGATCCTCCCCCTCAGAATGGGTGTAAAGAATGGGCACATCCATTTCATGGTCTTCCACTCCATTAGAGTATAGAACCAGGTTCCGTTCATTAATCTTTGAAAAAGGATCCTCTTCCTCAATGTCTCCATGATCCTGGTTGAGCAGAGCAGCAAATGAGTTGTTTGAAAGTGGTACAAATGCAAGGGCAAATGGTGATAACTTCCTTCTTAGGAGAGGTGGAAATAAATCGCTGTAGTTGTTTGAGATGAAGACTTTTGGTTGTTCTCCTCCCTCATAGATAGTCATGTGTGTGTTTGCTGGAGTGGTTTCAATCAAGGAAGCTGAAGAGAAGTCCCTAATCCACCTTTGCCTCTAGACATAACCTTTGTGCTCGAGTGGAGTTGTGATTGTTGAGGTGATGAACCAAGTTCAGATGTTGAGGCTTCTATTACCTCATCCACCTTTAAATCCAAGACTTCCGCGTCAAGAGAGACAATGGTTGTGGTAGCTAAAGCTTCACCTAAATAAGAGGCGTTCTGGATGCAGACGGATTGTGGGATCTCTTCGCTATTAGTGGTCATCCCTTTATGACTGAGAGATATCTTTTCAAGGAAAGAGTGCAACACCTTATAAAATAGCTTAAACCCATCACCATTATCCCTAAACGGCACCAATAGAAAAGACAAACCTTCCTTTTGATCCTCAGCAATACGAATGAATTTCCCTTTTTGGTTTGATTCAAGGCATATCTCTAGAGCTCTACTCTCATCAAATTTAAACAAACCTTGAGTTTTTGTACTCGTCAGCCTGGGAAAAGATTCTACCAGCCAGTGTACAGAGTCCAAATCGAACCAAATATGGAAATTTTTCCTACCTTGACTAGTAATGCAAATATTGTGATTGTAGAAGGAGTAGAAGAGTTCACATGCCATGAATTGGATGTGAAACTTGAACCTGGAGTTCCTACTCGGAAAAGAATTGGAGGAACTAGTCTTACCAGCAAAATTTGAGATGCTGTACACGTATGAATTTTGCAGGTGCAGAGTTTTTGGGGATTTAAAAGGCCAGTATTGCTTTTGTCCACCACCTCTCGGTCGTCAGTAGGAATGATTTTGCTCTCCTTCCCCACGAGACGTTCTCCTGTTGCCGGATCTGTAAGTCCTACGCTGACCCAAGAAAGGGTATTTAGGCCGCCGATCGTCAAGATATTCGCGATAGTTGTTGAGATCATCATCCCATTGTCTCCGTTGGAAATGGGAAGAAAACTTGTGCGAAAAAGACAGTCTCCAATCGGAAAATCGTCGGCGGTCGCCATATACACCGCGGTCTCCCTTCTCTCTAAACGCCTTCTCTCTAAACGCCATCTTCATGTGTGTGTGTTTGTATATATATATATATATATATATATATATATATATATATATATATATATATATATATATATATATATATATATATATATAATGTAAAGTAACCAAAATGTACACAAATGCAAAGTAAATTTTAATGTTGAAAAGATTAAATTGAATACAATACCACACAGCCACACCTTAAAATATCAATTTTTAATTCAGAAAAAATTTAGACTGTAAAATTAGACTTCTTAAGAAATTTATTCCATTCACGTTAAGATTCTAATTTTATCAGTAACGCGTGTAAGAGAAGAAAAAGAGCCCTACAAAAATTTTTTTGGTACACAACAAATAAATATTAGAATAAAAGAAAAGATTTATAAAAACAAAACCTAGTAAACATAGAGACGAAAACTGCATAGTTTCTCCTCCCACACATTGCATTTCAAGTGAAGAACAAACATGTAAACTTTAGCTACATGCACAATAACAAAGCCACTATGCATTACACAACAATAGTAATGCACCACGTCGAATTGAGAGCATCTGGGTAACCTTGAATAATACTAGACTAAAAAAAGAAATGAATACAATTCTCCACTAATTTAAATCCTGAATCTCCAATAAAAAACAGTAAACAACATACAACTATAAATGTAAAAATAAACAATCCCATTTTATAATCTGGTTGAGTCAAGCAAAACATGACATAAATAATGCAACATCATATTTCGCCTCGGGTGTATATTCATCTATTTTCTTCTTATCTTCATAGCCCAAGCTTAGTCCTCATATTCGTCTATTGCTTCAAGGTCAATATGTGCAACATCTTGTTTAGGACAATTCTTTACAAGATGTTTCTTAATCATCCACTTGTATGAACTTGTGTAAGTTCTAGTTTGACTTTTTGTTGATATTAGCACCCAAGCTTCAATCACCAACTCTTTATTGATTCACAAGCACATCTACCACATTTATAATGCATCATAGACACAGAAAAACAAAAGCATTTACCGAATATCATTTGCATCAACATTTAGAAGTTGTAACTCATGATGATAAAAAGCTAACCACACTATGCATATAGAGCATGATACTATGGTCAACAACATCATGTCATAATTATCATCATGTTCCACATAGTAGATAAAATTAGTTGTCTCAATCCAACTAACCTTGAGACTTACACAAATACAATAACACTCCTTTGGTTGAATCACTGGGAACAAATCTATAATATTAGTTGTCTCAATCCAACTAACCTTGAGACATACCTTAGATTAGTACAATGTCTTGTTGTTACTTATTACATTGAGAGTTTCATTTTGCACTACATATAGGTGTAAATGCATCACTACTGTATCACTGTGCACTATTTTCTTTAGTACAATTCTTTTACAGCACATAATGCACATTTTTTACTGTCCTATACATAAGATCCCAACACCTACAAGTCACTATGAATATTATGGGCTGCTCTGCGTAAAAAATGTAAAGTATTTATAAGATATTCAAGCCTATGCATCTTGGGTTATAAAGAACCAATAAGAAAAGATGAATCTACATCATGTCATCAATTACTGTTTAATGAAAACTACACTCCGTCAATTTAATATAATTTACTTTGTATAAAATAAAGATTTAAAAAATGGCAGTAATGCATCATGAGTGTAATTTGATGCACACGGAATCATAAACTCATACAACCCAAACAAAAATAAAAAGAAAACTTAAATGATGCCTCGTTACAATTTCTTCAAGCATAACAGTTTGAAAACTAAGAAGCACAATTCATTATAGCATACAATTTCAAAATCTTGTCTTTTTAAATGAGAAAATTGGAAGGATTAGAAAACAAAAAGAGGATAAAAAGTTCAAACCTGAATCCATCTACGCATGTATGAAGAAAAATATGGAAAACTGGAATGATTGGAACACCAAAATGAGTAGCAATTGGAATGCCAAACCTCGAGATCTGATTATTCAATGAAGCGATTGGAACACCAAATTGAGAAATTAGGGTATTTAGAACGATTTTGGGAATACATAAACCTGAAACAAGATTGATACATAATGATATCAGATCATGAGAAGAAAATCTTGAATGATTTTGGGAATATGGAAACTTACGATGATATCGCTAGGATGGAAGCGCTGGATGAGAGAGAAACGGCTTCTAAAGGAAAATACATATTTACCCATAGAAAGTGGCGGATGTATTATCATCAAGAGGCTGCATCGAACGGTTCACAGGCATTCTTATTTGTTTCACTAGATCTCATTATCACCAGAACATATATATATATATATATAGGGGCTGGTTCCTGTGAGAATGCACCTTGTGGAGAGAAATGAGAATAAAATCTAGCCGTTGGATCTTATGCATCGTGCGGCTCAGATTGCATCCTGTGCTCAGATTTTGAGATAATGCATTTTCAAAGGATTTTGGTGCATTTCGACGTGATGCATTTTTAAATCATTTTGGTGCATCTGATTTTGATGCAATCCTGGCCCTTACATCTCACAATCTAAAGCACCAGATTCATTCTCATTTCTCTCCTAAGATCGCATTCTTACTAGAACCAATATATATATATATATATATATATATATATATATATATATACATACATACATACAGATTTTGGTTCCGGTGAGAATGCAATCTTAGGAGAGAAATGAGAATGAATCTAGTGCTTTAGATTGTGAGATCTAAGGGTCAAGATTTCATCAAAATTAGATGCACCAAAATAGTTCGAAAATGCATCACGTCGAAATGCACCATAAAC